TTTACAAGTGACTACACCAGGACAAGATTTGGATCCAAGCAAGAAGTAGGTCTAGTCACGTTCTTCTTTCCCCTTCACGTAAACTATTACCAACGACAAATAGCCATTTTAGCAATGAAACCTTCTTCTGTCGTACAGCATTACGGACAATGGTCCAGTTACAAAAAATAATACACAGAATGAATTGTCTGTAAATAGGGGTCTCTGACACAAATATCCATTAACAGGTCTGGACACTAGAAACTCCGAGTCACGTGTGAGGTTGGAGAAGGGTATTGGACAGGAAGAGAGGTAGCCGTGACAGGAAACTGCAAGAGTCGTAACTCCAACATGTTTTTCTATGAAGATATGCTGGACCATTGGATTCAGTTCCTGATGGATACTGGACTTTTTTTCAAAAGTGACTTTGGCTCCCATGTCGACCCAGCAAGGAGTGGGTACCAGGTACAGTCTTAAGAAGTAAAGGTGACCGGCGTTATGCTGACCACATCACCCAATAAGTGCTGTTTGGTTTATAAAATATAGGTCTAGCCCTATGTACACAATACACATGAACGGCGTAGAAACAGATTCTTACTTTACTTATGCTGGACGATGGATTTTTACACGTGAAGTTTGCCTGCGGGACCTCTACATTTTGCCATTACTGGGGAAGGATATGAACAGTTTCTCACTTACAAAGTTGTGCAGGGGAATGTGACATCTTCATTAGCCAACGATTTTTGACCCATTGCGGGGGTTTAAAACAACAACAGAGACACACGGGTCGGCAAACAGACGGTAAGAGTAGGGGGTTCGGTTTTGAGAAGTCACAAACAGACGGTAAGAGTAGGGTGTTCGGTTGAGAGAAGTCACAAACAGACGGTAAGAGTAGGGGGTTCGGTTGAGAGAAGTCACAAACAGACGGTAAGAGTAGGGGGTTCGGTTGAGAGAAGTCACACAAACAGAAGGTAAGAGTAGGGGGTTCGGTTTTGAGAAGTCACAAACAGACGGTAAGAGTAGGGGGTTCGGTTGAGAGAAGTCACAAACAGACGTTAAGAGTAGGGGGTTCGGTTGAGAGAAGTCACAAACAGACGGTAAGAGTAGGGAGTTCGGTTTTGAGAAGTCATAAACAGACGGTAATAGTAAGGTGTTCGTTTTTTAGAAGTCACAAACAGACGGTAAGAGTAGAGGATTTGGTTGAGAGAAGTCACAAACAGACGGTAAGAGTAGGGGATTTGATTGAGAGAAGTCACAAACACTGATGTACTTACCCAGCTGAGGCTCTTTCTTTCATGGCATTAGAAGAGGTCTCGTAGCTTTGGACACACCTGTCCGTATGTGAGGTTTCCCTACGACTAAGTCTGAACACACACAGGAACCACCAAGTCTGAACACACACAGGAACGACCAAGTCTGAACACACACAGGAACGAACAAGTCTGAACACACACGCAAGACGTACAAACACAGTTTAACAATGCAAGCCTTAAACAGCAAACCTGTAGTAACAAGCTCACCCTCCTATGATAGTTCTACACAGAGTGTCTGTGCTAAGAAGCCAATACATACTATAGCGTTTGATAATTCTATACAGTCTCTATATTCAGAAACCCATAGTAAGATACATGACAGTTCTTCTATACTTCTGTAGTACGAAGTTCGTGACAGGATATCAAACCAAATGAAAAGTAGATCACCGATTTTCCCAATATAATAAACACAAACGGAAAGTGAACGTTGCGGCCAGAGAGCCTTCATCTGCAAATTATATAAATTAATACAATCACATGTACAGACAAGAATACACAAAGAAGCTTATTGTATGAGCTAGGACAATTATATACATTGTCACTGTAGTAAAAAGCCTATAGTATGAAGTGTGACAGTTCAGGAAACATGATCTTTTGTATGAAACCCATGGTATGATCTGTTTGGCAATGAGTTTCACATCTGGTATCTGATGGTATACTTAGATCTGTATAGAAAGTTTCAGTCGTTTAATAGTGTGCTCATATCACACCGGCCGCCTGTACCTCCCCATAAACTCCCTCAGTGGCCCGTAAGGGTGGTTTGGAGCAGAGTTTCTCTTGACAAGAAACTTTGCCTTCATTTGTTGTATTTGGGACACTCTTGGAGGACGTGTTCTGTTGTCTCAGGTACCAATCCCCACGTGCGCATGGCTGACTGGCCAAGCTTCGAGTTTGTGTACAGTGTTGCTGTGAAGTCGACTGTAACCTGTTCTAATGCGTTCGACTTCGTCATAATGAACTGTAGGCAGGGCCAATGTGGAAGTCAAGGTTAATTATAAAAAATCCACCAGCTGCAGATTTCTTTCTCTTCTACTTCCCATGTTATGTTATGTTATCATTTATTGTTATATTTTCAATACTTCCTCGGTCCGTCCCCCCCCCCTTTTCCCCGACAGCTGCCTGATTGTTTGAAACTCTGATGTTACATAATCTGTCTTTGGTTGGGTGGCCAAAAGGGTATATCGAGATATCCCATTAAAATATATGGCGTAAGAGGGATTGAAAGAGCGGACTGGCTTGCTGGCAGGGCCACGGCAGGTATAGGAAGAGCTGGGACCTGGCCAATATTCTCAATGCTCTCAAGGAGGCTGGACGAGAAGGTGATTCAGGAGAAGACGTTGAATCGACACTTTTAAAAAAAAAATCTTTAAGAACTTCAGGTCAAAAGAGTTGTTGCCAAACATGAATACGGTACAGGTAGCCAAAGAAGAAAAAAAAATATTAAACCAGGGATGAACTAGGGTTGTCAGTCGCCACATGCTGGCGGGTATGCTGAAGATAGGATCTGAGCGCTTATGGACTTGTCAGATGTGCAGTGAGGATAATATGTCAATTAGCTGACAAACTAACAAGCTGTGATCAGAGCACGCGCAAAGGCTACGCTTTTTTGGTCAGCTGACAGTCTTCAGCAGGTAAGTATTATAAACAGATTCCTCAATGTATTGTCTATCCATGGGATGGGATGGAGTTGGTTTACCTCGAGGAGACATTCCTTCATAAAACCACTTCAACAAATTTCCAACACCAAAAGTTAAAAATGTACAGACTGTACCAGACATTCGTGAAGACTTTTTTTTTTTTTTAACGTATCCAGAAACCATGAGTTGTAAACCCTTTGGCTCGGTACTATGGATATCGCAACCCTTCGGCCTTGATTCCATGATAGGTAACGTAAATCTGGGAGAAATGTGGCTTTTCTGCCTACCCCCGGGAGTGAACCCGGACCACAAGGAGTTCGTCACCCGGCCGCCGCGAAAGTCAGGTTTAACCAACTTCGCTAGAGAGCCGGGCCAATTTGTGAAGACTAGGCGCAGACTAGTGGCTGGTGACTTGGCAATACGAGATTAAGTGATGAATGGAAGGGAGACACCAAACAAGTGGGGACTTCACGTACTCCATTGTCGTTTTCACTCTGTCCCGTTTCTCTCTATTTCTCGTACTCCTTCATTTCAAACAATAACACTCTTTTGAGAGCTCACTCTCACTAAAAAATTTCCAGCTCTAAATCTAGGTTATTCCATCTAAACCAACAATCTTCATTACGCGTTCGGCGAAATGACAGGGCGCGCACAGACCAACTCAAATCAGTTCATGAGAGCGCCGGCTTAGATAATCGAACTCCTCCCTTCCTGAGGTTATTCCCCCACCCTCCCCTCCCCAATCGTCTCCGACAAAACGATTATCACTGCCCATAACAATCGCTTAAGACAACCTATTTGGGAAGGACGACGGATCGATTGGAAAACCCAGCTCCGATCCTGCGATGAGTTTTTCTGAACATCACACATCCCCTGGCTGCTGGGAGAAAGGGGAGAGAACTGTTGGGAATCGTTTCTCTACACACACACAAATGCATCTGCGTTGAGCTGCACAGTGTAATTCTATTCTTTAATTCAGATCGTTGTTCTTTTATAGCCTCCTCTTTCCACATTCAAAGACATCAGCAACAAGAATAAGAACAAAAAAGACAAGTCATGCCAAAGAATTCTAGAAATATAAGCGGATGAAGAGGAAATAAAATGCATTACTTCACTTTAAAAAGGCTGAAAGACGCAAAAAGGAAGTAATATGAGCAAACGACTAATTTGCTTGAATGTTACTAGAGTGCATAAGTGAAATAAAGAGTAGTAACCACAGTCTAACCTTCTGTGTATGTGGTATGAGACGATTACGACGATTGGCATTAGACAGATGCTCGTGGAAATGACAAAATATATCTACTCATAAATACAAATCTTTAAGTGGGTTGGTGACAAGAGATAAAAGAAGCAGAAGAAGAAGAAGAAGAAAAGAAGAAGAAGAAGAAGAAGAAGAAAAAGAAGGAGGAAGAAGAAGAAGAAGAAAAGGAAAAGAGGTGGGAAAAGAAAAAGAAGTCTCTTTGGCAGAGATTTGACCAGAAGACATCTGGTGGTCACTTAAGCGTGCTGGGCGCTGCACTATCTTCACATCCTGTTAAAAGAGACATGAAAATATGGTTCTCAAACAGAGCATCATCCTCCATTCTACACTCGTTTCTGTAGTTACAAAGCTGTACCGAAGATATTTTCAGTCTACCAGTAAAGTAAAAACATTAAGGACCTTTCAGATGTATTGGGCATATAGGGCTAGACCTATATTTTACTGACCATTCGGCACTCGGTAAGGGATGTGGTAAACATTACGCGGACCGCCTGTACTTCCCAGGACTGTTTCTGGTACCCATCTACGTCTTGGTCGACCTGGCAGCCAAGGCCGTTTTTTGAAAACAGTCCGACTCCTTCAGGACCTGAACCCACCCAAAACCTTCAGATCCGCAGGCGAGCGTCTAGCCTCTGCACCACGGCGGCTCTCACAGTCTACTAGGGGGTATATTAATTACAACAACAATCAAGAAAGCCCAGAGTAAGGGCCTCATCTGAAAGCCTACAGAGATAATAATACAATAATGTGCATACCGTTATTGTCATTAACATAATCATCATAGCCATCATAAAAAGGATATCATAAGACCATTGCCCGGGCTGTTTCCGTCCATCATATCGTCGGACATGCATAAACTGCCTCTGTCAAACATATGCATACTGCTCAGGAAGTGTGGAGAATCTGAAGGTGAATGAGGAGACCCTCTTGACTGGTCCTGCGGGCTCGTCATTCGGGAGTCTCTGAAAGAGGCTTCTTGCAGTCGTAGAGCAAGGAGGTCAGAATGCGTGAGGGATGGGTTTGTGATAGCTACACTTGTGGGTAGGACTGGAGGAAGGAAATGAGGGAAGGCTAAAGTTAGATGGCGTTGAGCATCCGTGTTGTCCATGCTGGAACTGGGAGTGTTATCCTGAAGGAGGGCTGGTTTACCCCGAGGAGAACTCAGCCTCGTGTCCGTGACTTTTGTACGTTTTTTCTTGGGCGTGTTAGTTAAAAGAGGCAAGGGCTCAGTTTGTTCGGGCTCTCCAGTGTAAATGGGAGGGAGTACCTGAGTAGGGAGGAAATACGGGAAGTGGGGATGGAAAGGTAAAGAGGGACCGTTATGGGGTGTTATGAGGTCACTTCCTGATTTATGAAGAGGCCCGAAGGCACTCATTTTGTCCGGGTGAAGCCGGCTGCCAAAGCGCTCTAGAAGATGAAGATGGTCAGTAAGAGGAACGATGAGATCTGGCTTCTTCTCTGTTTGACAGTTACTGACAGTTTCTTTCATAGCTTCTCTCTCAGAGATTTGACTAGTCGGCTGGTTCTGTTGTTGTTGTTGCTGCTGCTGTAGCAGCAGGGATTGATGTCGATGCTGTTGCTGTTGAAGTTGTTGAAAATGTTGCTGGTGGAGGAAGTGAGGAATTGCGTTAGGAGAGTGTTGAAGTTTGTGTGGCGGCGGCTGCTGCTGCCGCTGAATTGGTGGACTTTTATGCCGCTGAGGTTGCCTGTTTTGAAGCTGTTGTATTTGTGGTGTGTTTGAATCCCTAGTCAACTGTGTGTTCTGAGCAGTCGCTTGTTTTTCAATCAAAACCTTGCTAACAGCGCTATCTATAGCTTTGTTCATCGCCTCAGTCAGTTCAAGTTTCAACACGTTAGCAATTTTAGAAATATCTGCTTGAGGAATCTTAGGCGGCTCGTCCGGTATATGACCAGTTTCGGGTCGGATCTGCTCGGATTTTGACCTAAACACGATCCCCGGATCTAGATCTGGGCGCACTCCGAAAATCCCGTGTCTAAAGAAATTATCCCTGTAGAAATGTGGATCAAATCCATTCTGGAATGGTGCAAGAAAGTTTTTATTTCCCAAACCATGGTACAGTGTGTTTCGGAAAAAATGATCAGTTCCATAAAGGCTACCTGAGTTGTTCATTTCACCATTGCCATCCTCAATGTTCTCTTCATCATGACTAGAACCGAAGCGATGGTGACTTTCGCGATGTTTGATACCGCTAACTCCATCTCTGTGATCTGACCTACTGTTATCATGCTGCTGTGGTTGCGTCTGTTTTCTTTTCTGCTTCTTGTCGCTATCACTTCTAGGTGAAACTCTACTGCTGAACTCAAACCTACTATCAACATGAGCTGGTGAATGTGCGCTGCTAAGCAGGCTTTCCACTCTCGCCCGTTTTGATTGTCCTCCCTGCGGACTTCCAGGTTTGCTTCCTTCGCCATCAGTCACTTCCCCGTCAACCACAGCTTCGTCCTCATCCTTCACAGACAAGTTCTCTTCTCTTTTCCTTTTCACAGCATGCATCTGCTCCTGCAACTGCTGGATCTGCTTCTGAAGAACTAAATCCTCAGTGGGTAGGATGTTTGATTCATGCTGCTGAGGTTGCGGCTGCTTCCTCTTCTGGCGCTTGAAATCTCCTGATAGAGCCATCATTGTTGAATCTAGGTCGACCTGTGGAAGAGGATGCCTCATACTAGTCAGTATGGTTTCCACGTGTGCCCGTTTTTCCTCTTTGCTTTCTCTGCTACCCGTTTCGTGATCAAAACTCTTCAAGTTATCGTCCTGGAGTGAATTGTCCAATGATCTTTCATCAAGATCGTCAGACTGGTCATCATCGTTAATACACGAATGGTTGTCTGTGGCAACATCAATATCTCCATCAATATCATTATCATTGTCCAAATCGTTGTCGTTATCTCTGTCATTGAAAGCCATGTCGCTAGATTTGCTGTGAAGGAGGGGGGAAATCATCTCGGAGTTGCAGTCGCTGCTATAGATATCCTTGATGCTGCCGCTGCTAGTGATGCTGTCACTAAACTGGGTTTGGTAAGTGTCTTTGCTTTGAAGAATATCACGGAGAAGCTGTGAGGCGTCTACTGGACTGCATTTAGCCTGCATTCTAGCTGCCCTCACTGGACCAGACTGCTGAAGCAAACGTAAAGATATAGTTAACATGATGCCAGAGGGATCATTCATATCTTTACTGACAATACATGAAGGTGGACATCTAACATGGGAGAGACAGACTGACAGCATAATAAAAGAACATAAGCATTATATTATTATCGTTTACTTCTTCTTCTCCTTCTTCTCCTTCTTCTTCTTCTTCTCCTTCTTCTTCTTCTTCTTCTTCTTCTTCTTCTTCTTCTTCTTCTTCTTCTTCTTCTTCTTCTTCTTCTTCTTCTTCTTCTTCTTCTTCTCTTCTTCATCATCATTATCATCTTCTTCTTCTTCTTCTTCTTCTTCTTCTTCTTCTTCTTCTTCTTCTTCTTCTTCTTCTTCTTCTTCTTCTTCTTCTTCTTCTTCTTCTTCTTTTTTCTTCTTCTTCTTCTTTCTTCTTCTTCTTCTTCTTCTTCTTCTTCTTCTTCTTCTTCTTCTTCTTCTTTTCTTCTTTTCTTTTCCTTCTTCTTCTCTCTTCTTTCTTCTTCTTCTTATTCTTCTTATTCTTCTTCTTCTTCTTCTTCTTCTTCTCTTCTTCTTTTTCTCTTCTTTTTCTTCTTTTCTTCTTTTTCTTCTTCTTCTTCTTCTTCTTCTTCTTCTTCTTCTTCTTCTTCTTCTTCTTCTTCTTCTTCTTCTTCTTCTTCTTCTTCTTCTTCTTCTTCTTCTTCTTCTTCTTCTTCTACTCTTCCTCCTCCTCCTCCTCCTCCTCCTTCTCCTCCTTCTTTTTCTTCTTCTTTGCGTTTACCAGCTACAAAATCCAGTGGAAAGTTTTGGTTGTTCATCTACTTCTGGATTTCGGTCTTGTAAAGAAACTCTAGTTTTTCGTGCACATACGTTTTACAGATCTGGTTTATTCGCATGCAGACTGTTGTCTCCTTGCCTCCCAGGCACCTTTCATTGTCACCTTTTACGACATGCGTGTAGCAGGGTAGTAGGTCTATTCCCCGCCCACACCACATGAAGCACTGAAATTCACAAGGTTATTTTTTTTTTCAACGGAAATGAATGCAGAGAAACGCTTCTCATCATCATCATCAAGACCACCAGCATCGTCGTTACAGTTGCTTAGTACACTTGTCTACAGCAACATGGCTAGAAACACAGACTTTCACTAGGCCATGCTTTCTCAGTGACCCGATGAGTTCGCTTAGGAAGATAGAGAAGGACTGGGTCCGAAGGCAGTGGTTTGTGGATCTACAGCGTTCACGGCTAACAAGGATTAGTTTTATTTTCGTGCCAGGACATGTGATGATACAAGGAAATGAGCAAGCTGACAAACTTGCAGATAAGGCTACCGTGAAAGCTGGGCAAGCAGTGGACACAAGCTGATATACTGAATGCTCTATGAGATTTAAGAAGTTTGCGTGAACCAACTGAGAACTGTAAATCTGCAACCATGGTCTGACTGCAAGAACAGCAAGTTAAACGCGGTGTCGACAAACAAGAACACTACGCGGGTAGCCAAAGAATAATAATAAACCAACACAGAACGGGTGTCGTCAGCCGCTACACACTGCGGGATTTATTGAGGAAGGTGTTCAAGCATTTATGGAGTGAGTTGTTCGGCGTGCAATGAGGATAATCTGTCGACTCACTAACTAACTTGTTTTTATAAGGAGGCATACACGCCATTTAGAGGTAACAGGTTTGATTTCCTATAGCTTTCGATTTGTTATGTTGTCTAGTGTGTGCTTCTATCTTTCTACTTTTTTCTATGAGTGCCGATCAATACATTGTCTGCTTATTTTGTATATATATATATATATATATATTTGCCAGGTTAAGCTGGTCCAGTACCTCTGCTCACGTGGCATGACTGTGTCACTCCACTGGCCTATTTTCTCCACAGATGTTTCTAGTTAGCCACAGGTTTGATCTTTGCGCAAACTCTTATTCTCTCTCTCTTCTCTCTCTCTCTCTCTCTCTCTCTCTCTCTCTCTCTCTTTCTCCCTCTCTCTCTCTCACTCACTTTGAATTAGGATTTTTTCAATCTCAGTCAGTATGTTCAACAGCAGGCCTCGATGCTGCACACTATGATTAGGCATTAGTTGTAGTAATAGCATCAGCAGCAGCAGCAGTAACGCAGTAGCAGTGGTGACTGTTGCAGTAGTGGTGACTGTTGCAGTAGTAGTCACTGGTTATATCAGCAGTGACCGTAATGCGAGTCTGCCCCTGCCTATTTCACCAGCGCACATACGTTCATAATTGATTAATCACACTAAACAACTTCTGGGTTTAACATTGCCGAATGATTTCATTTTACATGTCGTTCAGCTGTTTTTGACCCCGCAATCCTTACTGTTCAGATTCAGTAAAAGTGTCAGTGTGTTTTTATTTTATTATATTGTGTTCTATTAAAATAAATGTTCTGTAGCATTCAAACTCAAAATTATTTGATGGTAATGTACACGATAGATCTGTAGACGGGTATCAAATGTGATAATGTCCCTCTGTAGGGCAGGTTTACCCTGAATCTCCCTGTAATAAATGTCTTCTCTGAGTCTTTCTATATACAACGTCAGCCCCTAATCTCGATATGTTAATTTATATGTCTGCCTCAAGTCTCCCTATACGAAAATTGCCCAGTCTCACTATATGAAATGTCTGCCTTGAGGTCACCTATACGCTGTATTTGCCGCAAAACTCCCTGCAGGAAAAGTCTGCCCTTTGTCTCCCTATTTTATATGTATGTCTGTCTCAAGTCTCCATATAGGAAATGTCCCCACTCTCACATATGAAATATCTGCACTGAGTCCCCTATATGAAATGTACGCCCTCTAATCTCCCTACTTTACACGTCTGCCTCATATCTCCCTATATGAAATGTACGCCCTCTAATCTCCCTACTTTACACGTCTGCCTCATATCTCCCTACGTTACACGTCTGCCTCATATCTCCCTATATGAAATGTCCCCAATCTCCCTATATGAAATGTACGCCCCTAATCTCCCTACGTCACACGTCTGCCTCATGTCTCCCTATATGAAATGTCCCCAATCTCCCTATATGAAATGTCCCCAATCTCACTATATGAAATGTCCCCAATCTCACTATATGAAATGTCCCCAATCTCACTATATGAAATGTCCCCAATCTCACTATATGAAATATCCCCAATCTCCCTATATGAAAGGTCCCCATTCTCATTATATGAAATGTCTGACCTGAGTCCACTATACGCAGTATCTGCCCCAGACTCCCTATCTTGAATTGCTCATATCAGTTCTGTGCCTCCTAGCTACGATCTACGGATGCGAGGCATCATGGGAGTAACACGGGCCACCAGGTTTCCACTATCTGACCCACATCATGATCTGTCTGTATCCAGTTATCTCCCATGCACGTCCTGCCAGCCGACTGCAGCCTTTAACTTTATACTTGTTGTTATTATTAGAACGAACTGGCCTGTATCTTTTGAGACCTAAATTTCGCTAATTATTATAACCCCCCCCCCCCCTCCTTCCTCCTCCCCCACCCACCCAAACAAAAAATTTTTTGGTTTTTTTTTTGACAGTCTGTCGTTAGCCAGTCATCTACTTGTGAGATGCAATTTTTCGTTATTTGAAGCGCTATTGCCAGTGGCCGCAATATAGCCCGACCATAAATATGGTCTAACGGCTGAACGCGGTTTCTGGGACCTCTCCACGGGTGATCCTCATCCACAGGGTGGCACATTGTGTCATCGGGTGTTTATCGCTTGTGTGTGTTGTCCTGGTGGGGTAAAAATCTACTACTAGTACTAATACTACTACTACTACTACTACTACTACTACTACTACTACTACTACTACTACTACTACTACTACTACTACTACTACTACTACTACTACTACTACTACTACTACTACTACTGCTACTACTACTACTATTTGACAGTCTGTACCGTTGTTTCAAGTTTCAGGTCTGATCACTTGCCGCCTTCACATCCAGTGCCAGTTGCAATGAGCTTATACAACTTTATTGTTATCGTCATGATGATTCATTCGCATGACGCCAAAGCAAAGAACCAAAAGTCTGCAGTTAGGCCAGATCTGTAAAACGGCTGCACAAACAAAACTCAGGACCTTAAATAAAGCCAAATTCTAGACATGGACGAACAACCAAGACTTTCGGCTAGGATTTACAGCCGGTAAACGCTAACAACAGCAGCAAAACCCATCTCCTGCAATCTTCTTTTTCTAAAAATCTAATTTTCTCTTACTTGTTCATGACACTTTCGCTTCTAGCCCATGTTGTTTTTCTTTTATGTTCGCCCATTTTGCTATATTCATATTGAAATAACAAACCCCCGGTGGGTTGCGGGGTCCTGTTGTGGGAACAACAAGAATAGGCCCACTGCCTCTACTAAAAGCATGTCGTAAGAGTTGAGTATTTGGGGGGCGAAGTCGGAGTACATCTGCCTGAGAGCCAAGAAACCAACAGTCTGTATACAAATAAGTGAGGGGCTCATCCAACAAAAGAATTATGGAACTAAACAGTGCAGTTCAACAGATGGATATGACGTTGTGGGCGATGCATTCAATCGCAAAGGAAATGAATGACTGGCATAGGTTTGTTGAAAGCATATGCTCCACTGGGGGCAAAGGGCCGACAAAAATATCATAAAGACAGAAGAATGTCAGCTGGCCAGTCTCACGCAAGTTATCATCAGGCGCCTCTTACGACATGCACACAAGATTACACAGCATAGGCGTTACAAATAAGCTTCGTATTTCCAAGGTGCTGGGTTCGATACCAGCTGCAGGCGATTTAGCAGCAGACAGAAAGGCTTTGGTTGATTTCGACGGTAGCATGACGAGCCGACCGTTTAATAAACAATGGCAAACTACTAAATGTAAAATTGCCTAGTGAAATCATGAACAGCAAAAAAACAGCAAAAACCCTGGGGTTGATACTCCAATCTACTGCAAACGACATGCAACTAACATTTGTAAACACATGGGTAGCTGTGGATGTT